CTTGGAACTTATTGTAATGTGATTAGCTGTAGTAACAACAGGGTCTCCAATACAGCAAGGTAACAGTGAGTTGAACTAGCTATAGGAACAGCATTACCAAAGACCAGCAAACTATCTATCAGAGGACAAGTATAAAAGTAGAATAATGATGAGTGAGAATTGCTGAAGGACTAATAACTAAGATAATTAGTACTCAGTGAATCTAATTTAAGTTACAAGCAGACAATAGCAGAGTTGTATTACTAGGGCCCAAGTTTAGAGTCCAGCAAAACAATTTGCAATGGGTTGTTTTATATGTAAGTATGTCAAGAACAAATTACAATTAAGTGCTAGTGAATCAGAGATAGAAGACAAGCAGTGGGTAGGCCTAGCATTAGTTATAAGAATGTGAGTATTAAAATCCATCAAAATATCTGACAGTGACATTTTTCTAGCTGACATTTGGTAATATTGGTGGTTACTTATGTTGAGTTTCATAACTAATATTTGATCCCACTGAGGATCTAGTTAGATCCATCCATTGTAATTTTTCATTCTGGATCTTGATCTTTTCTGAAGACTTAGCTAGATGTTGCTTTTCAATCTTACAATCAGGTTCTTAATGTCCTGATTAAAGAAATAACTTGGCTTTCAAGCAAAAAACATGTTGATGTCCTCTTTAACACCTTCCACATTTGTATACGCTTTCCCATTAAGATGGTGTTGCAGTGAAAAAAAAAGATGGTTATCTGATGGTGCCATATCTAGAAAATATGGTGGGTGGGGAGAACTTTCCAACCCAACTCCATAATCTTGTGTTGCATCAAACGTGTCACATGTGGATGTGCATTGTCGCAGAGAAGAAGAATACCTTTCCAATTGAAGGGCATTTCTGATGAAGAGCTTGATTTAAATGTTCCAGTTGCTGACTATAGATCTCTACATTGACAGTTCCCTGTGGATTGAAGAGTTCAAAATGAATTACTCCTTTGTTGTCCCACCAAATGCAAAGTATCACTTTCTGTGGATGGAGTCCAGGTTTTGGGGTTGGAAGTGGTTTTTGTCTAGGATTGAGCTATTGGTTTTGGCTTTTAATATTCGCATAGAGAATCTATTTTTCATCACCAGTGACAATTCTGTCTAAAAATGGTTCACGCACATTACGCGCCAGAAGAGATGAAACAACATTCACAGGTTGGAAACGATGATCATTGGATAGTTCGTGAGGTGCCCAAGCACCTTCTTTATGGAGTTTTCCCATATTCCTTAGATGTTTACACATTGTGTTATGAGAGACATGCAATTTCAGGGCCATTTAAAGAGTGTGTTGCCTTGGGTTTGACTCAACAGCATCAATATCAGTTGTAACATGTCGGCCCCTGCCATCACAGTCTTTAAAGTTAAATCACCAGAATGAAATTTGCTGAACCATCGTTGACACTTATGAAAATTTAAAACATTTCCATAAACTTCTTCCATATTCTTTGTGGCTAGAGAGGCATTATTTCCTTTCTTGTATTCAAACAGCATTACACGCTGAATGTGTGTCTCGTTGTGTGCCATCACTATAAGGGGTTAGAGTATACTAAACTTTACACATTATATAGGTTACACTAACATGACGTTTAGGCTGTTCATTTAACTATTATACTTGATGTACGTTTTTTGGGGGGTGGTTATTGAAAGTGTTCCAAAAAGACAGTTTATTTTCGTGACGACTTAATAAAATGTCCCATGTGTTTAGTTTTTAGCTCCATGCAATTAAAAAGCTTTAATTTACTAAAAGATTTAATTACACAATTACTAATAGGTAAGTTATACATGTACATACAACGTCCCATGTGTTTAGTATAGGTACTTTGAAGAGTTATCAGCTTCTATAGGTTTAGTTGCATGTCGTCATGCTTCAATTTCAAGTACAGAGTTAGTCTGTGCTTTGTTTTGCTACATACAGTGTGCATGTGCTTAGCTATAGACATTAGTACAGCATTACTGTGTGATAATGACAGATTTATTGTATAGTTTTAATTACAAGTAGAGTTGGATTGTGAGTACAGAACCACCAATTGATTAATTATAGATGTAATATTAGAATTACTATAGGATAAACAAATCTCTCGAATTAATGACCAACACAACAGAGACCTGCAAGCAGTACCAGTGCCACATGTAGTGTATAAGTTGACAGATCATTAAACGGAAAGAACACTTTGCCACATTCTGTTAATAGAGGGTTGAAACAATATGGAGATGCCTAGTTACTGGTTACAAGCAGAACCAGATCTGCTTAAGGAGGCTTCTCGATGGTGGGAAGTTATCATTATACCCATTTGGCCACCTCAAGAATGACAGCCTCATTATAATAGGCTGCTGGCCCACTGTCACTGACTGGCCTTGTTGGGGTGAACAGGGAGAGGAATAGAAGTTCTGAACAATGAATGGTTAACGTATTGGCTAAAAACAATATAACATCTGGCTTGTTAGTAATACAAGAGACTCCTATACTGTTAATTCACTAGTTGGAATCTTGTATGTAAGTATGAGTGAACTTAAGTTATCTGAATATAATTTTTATAAATCTCTGTTGTAGATAGTGAACTAGAATT